TATATATATATATATATATTCCTTTGTTATGTGTAAACATTAATAACTTATGCTTAAGCTGTGTATTTGAAACAGACCTTTTTGTATGTAGATACTCACCAGTCACCATTTTCATTCATGCTTGAGTCTCAAAATGGTCCAATCATTTTTTCTGATGAAAAAATAATAATTTTTTCAAACAAGCACATACACACACACACAGTTTTTCTCTAAATAATAAAGTAATGTTTATTATTACAGTGCTTTTCATGTTAATCATTTGTACTGATGTCTATTATATACAGCAGCCTTAACTTAACAAACTTTACATATATTTATCTACATACATTTCTAGATGGAGATGTTTACAGTTTGTTTACTGTCTCCCTCCCTGATTCATGAAGGTGTCCCTTATCATGATTCTGATATGCTTACTGAGACAGCTACTTTCACTTCTCAACTTGCTTTAGCCTAGAGAGGAAAACATAAGGAGAGTAAAATAACTGTTTCCTGAGCCTTTTGGAATTCCAGCCCTTTGGTCAAACTTTCCTCATTGACTTAATCTTACCTCAGTTCCCGCCTCTGTCACTGGCTAGTCCAGAGGTCAACTGTGTCTGGATTCACCCAGAATCTCTAGTCCACATAGCACAAATGCAATACCAACAACTTCCTCCATTGCCTAACATTTGCTCTTTTATGTACTTTTGCTAAAAGGCATTTTGCTAATTGGTGTCTTAATTAGGCCTGACACCTAATTATATCGAATTGCCCATAGACAAAATCCTAACTTTGAGACTAATTTGCAACACCTGTGTCCACCAAGGCACCACTATATTCTCATTCTATTCCCATCCATTCATTCCTGTCACCTAGCAAAATAAATTTCCCTTGCATTGCATTTATTCAAAATGTTGCTGTTTCTCTTAAAACTCAATTCTGGTTCTTTTGTTATTACAGTTTACTGAAATGTAATATGCTCCTGTCACTGACCTATGGATCCCTAACTTTATATGGACTCAGAACAATTCATAGTTTCTGACATATATTTAACCTTTTCATTCATAATTAAACCTATACTTTCACCTGCTTGTATTACTCAACTTTACTCCCCAAGATCAGGTGTCCTACATTCAGTTCTATTGCATCCTTCCTTTTTAGTTTTACAAACAATATAGCTACCTACTGATCCATCCACCTGCCTACTTATCTATATGTTCATTTCATTAATCCACATTGTTTACTATTTACTCTTCTTATTCCAAGTCACTGTCATGGTCATCACCAGATGGGCCTTTTCCACCTCCTCCACCCATCATGGCTTTGGTCAAATAAAGTTTTGTTAATTATATTAATTATGCTGAAGTCTACAGTATCTCTCTGTTACTACAGACAACAAAAAATGGAAATTGGAAGATTTTAATTAAAACCTAAGCAGTTAAAAATGCTCTGAAATTTTTCTTAAGGTGTTTTAAAAATTTGATCATTGGTAATTATTTTGTATTTCTATAGGTGAGGATCATTGGTAATTATTTTGTATTTTATAGGTGAGGAGAAGATTATGTAAGAAGAAACAACATTTCTATCATATCTTATGCAGATTATTTCAGAGTTTTAGAACTAAACAGTAATAAAAGAATCATAAGGTCTTTAATAAAGACTGATGAGATATTTAAGATAAAACATTTCAAATTGTTCAAAATCTTTAACTACAGTAATAAAGTAATGAAGTCTCTGATATAGAACTGAGCTGACCTAGTTGTTCAGGAATATCATAATGCCTATTTCTCACTTCTTTGAGAAAACGGCAGCACAGTTTTTCTTTTCTTTTATTAAAATAGGAATGAAGGATACTAGGGATAAATTGTCAAAGATTTTAGCCTTCCAGAAATATTTGGGAATTATGTTTCTAAAAGTTTATATAGCCATAAAGAACTTAAAACCATATAGTTTGCCTTTTTGCTCAATAATGCCTGTAATCCTTTACTGAACCCATTTCTATATGAAATCCTTTATTTCTAATAGGATAGAATATAACTTCATACATATAATAAACTTTTATATTATTTAATATTATTGCTTTTATATGTTCATTTTATAACAGAGAACTGAATATTCATATATCAGTGAAAAGCTTTGATGTAAAGAATAAGTTAAATACATCATTTCTCACATTGTTAGCAAAGATGTCACCTTTTAACCTTTCTTTTAAGCTTTTTAGAACATCTGATGCTTTTTGATAATGGTTTAATATTACTTTTTCAGATTGATTAAATACACTTCATA